TTTGGAGGTAAAGCCACTATTTGGTCCTGGCTAGCACCTTCTCAGGGCCTCTCACCTGGATGTGCAGAGCTATGGGCCTCCCAGCAGATCTATCGGCCTCTCGGGTCTTCTTCTTTTGCCTGCTTCTGTTTTCCTGGCTGTAACTGAGGGAGAGATGCAGAGAGGAGGACTCTGCCTTCGGAAGCATGCGCAACGAGAACGGCCTCAGCTGGAGGAGGGACGGACCGGACAGACTGATTGTCCATTTGTAACTGCAGAGCCAGTTCCCAGGTTTGCATTCTCAATTCATAAAGGTTTAAAAACTACGGATTTTCATTTTGTTTGTTGTGCCTGTGACTCTGGCAAGCAGCCTCCAGGTGTGGGGCATCAACAGCAAGCAGCTGGGCCCTCGGGAAAATGTAGCTTCTCCACAGTCAGGATGGGGACTTGGAGCGAAGGGACATTCAACCCACCGGCTAAAGCAAATCAGTCAGGCCTCGCCTTTCAGCGCCATTGGCTGCTGCTGCTCAGTCAGACCTTTAACGTGTTAGGGTATGTGCTGTGTGTAGGGGAAATAAAGGATGGAAATTTCTAGAAAGAATCATAGTTTCCAGTCCTAATCAGGGCCTGAAGCAGGCTCAAACACTCATTGCCAAAAAGCAGCAAGTCCGCAGGAATGTGAGTACTTTCAGTCTTCCTTGCCCAGCCCCAAATTCATAGAATGTAACTGTACTCAGCTCTTTGCTACCCTATCAGACTCCACTGAGAAGAGCCACACAGCACAGTACAGCAGGCAGGAGCTGGAGACGTGTGCTGTTTCATTCCACATCATCTCCAACTGATCTGTTCATGGGCAACCTCCATCCCCGTTCACATCTGTTCTGGCCCATCTCCTGTCCTGTCCATGCATGCATGCTTGCTTTGACACGGGCCGTTTCTGAAGGCTGTAAAGAGAGACCGAGCCGTTTTGGCTCAGCGCTTCTTTCGGCTACATGGGGATCAGGATCGTAGAGCACAAAGTTGCTATGACCGCAGTTCAGGTTGAAACACCTGCACGGACACAAAAGGGCAGAGGCGAGGGGGAGGCAGGAGGGACACCCCCACCTGCCCACCACCCGAAGTCCTGCACAATTTCCAACAGCCTGTGCTCACAGACTAACATGCATAGCACTAAATATTTCAACACGTAAAAGATTTGGGAAGAGTGGGTAGCAGGCTAGAATAATGATTTATAGGACTTAGAAACCATGATTCCTTCAGTGTACTTCACAGCAGGCCTATCACACACACAAAGACAGCGGTCCACCATTGACCCTTTCAGGAAGAAGAAAAGGAGGCTAAGAGCCGTTTACAGTTCGTTTCTGGAGCACTTGGAAGACTTGTTCAGGTATGCTCTCTCTCTCTCTTTCTCTCTTTCTCTTTCTCCTTCTCTCTCTCTCTCTCTCTCTCTCTCTCTCTCTCTCTCACACACACACACACACACACACACACACACAGCTTCTTGTAACAACTAATGCTGACCCCTCACCCTTCACTCTTGACCAAAGAGTGACCCGAGAAGGCCTCTCAAGACATTCCCAGTACTAGCTTCAGCCCAAGCACCTTCTAAGAGATGTCTTCCCTGACTGGCTGCTCCCAGAATCTAGCAATCTACAGCCCTGGGTGGGGAAGTTCCCTGTTTGAGGTTTCCCTCCCTTGGCAGGGTCCCTGGAACAGAAACCCAGCAGCACTGGTCCTGAAAAGCCAGTCTTCCCAAGTGTTAAACAGGATACAGCTGATGGGCAAGGTGTCTATGTGCATCCAGGGAAGATTCTGGTGGTGGTGGGGGCGGGGGGGGGGCTGTTCCTGTCCATGGTTGGTTCACAAGCCTATCAAAGGTGAGGCGGAGCTACAGAGCCATTTTAAAGACTCCAAGGACCAAATCCCCAGTCTTCCCACAGATCTACCATGGGAGAATAGCCACCACTCTGATTGGTCACCCTAGATATTTCCAGTGCAAAAGGGCAAATAAGCCAACCTCAGGGTAGCCCACGTAGCCTGAACAACATACCAGGCAGTGTTGTAAGTAGCCATGGATCTGGGGTGACCCTAGGATGAAGTACTCCCACCCCCCTGCCTTTACACTTGCAGCTTCAGTACCTCCGGAGGGCCACCCTTTGTGTAGGTGATAAACTTCCGCTGCAAGGGTGAGAGGACAATTGAGTGGGGACAGCCATTGACAACCCCCCTCCCCCTTGGGACCAGGCAGTGCCTTGGTGTTAGAGAAAGGCTTCTTGCAGGGGAGAATGAGGAGGAAGAAAGGAATAGCAGCTGCCCAGAACAGGCAGCGAGAGCTTTCGTGTTTGGGGAACAATTAATTATCCAAAGCTCCTGATTTGAAAAGGGAATGTTTAATCTCCTGCTTCCCCCAGGGTCTTAGCCCTTTGACCCTGCTTCTTGACCTTTGCTCTTCCACCTTGCCTTATTCCCTGGGGGCCTGGAATCTGCACAGCGGTTTTTATTTAGTAAACACGGCTCAAATTGGAGAGGTTAGAGACTAGCCTCTACAGTGGCGCCTTCAGGTGGAGCCACACTTTCCCCGGGGCAATGTGTCAGGCTGAGAAGGGGCTGGGCATGGGAGGTCAGACCTCTTCAAATTCTATGCCAGCTCCCCACACAAAGGTTCGTGGTGGATAATGGGAAGGATGAGTGCTGCCTTCCCTCGGGTGCTGCTATCTCTGTTCTTGGGCTAAGCACTTTATGTAGAGAGCCGGCCAGTTGCATAGGTGGGCACAGCTGCAGCAGATGCAAGAAAAGCATCCCCAGAGGAAGTAGGGACAACGTGAGAACCCAGGTCTTGGGCTAATAGAGCCGCTGATGTCTCTAAGTTCTAAAGGGGAAGGAGAGAGGTGAAAGGAAAGTTATATTTAAAATCTTAGTCTTGCTTCTAATTAATTGCTTTTGGCCTCTGGCAAATTCCTTAACCTCTCTGCCTCAGTTTCCTCGTCTATGAAGGAAAAAAGCTTTCGCTGGAGAGTTGGCTCCGCAGTTAAAAGCTGTTGCTCTTACAGAGGACCCAGGTTTATTTGCCAGAGCCCACACCGTGACTGGCATACATTCTTAACGCTAGTTCCACAGGATTCTTCTGACCCCTGTGCGAACCAGGCACCAAAGTGGCACACATACACACAGGCAAAATACTCACACACATATACGAAACAAACAAAGCTAGAAGAAAGAAGAAACAGGGAAGGACCTCTCATAGGGGGCGGTCTACTGTGAAGATTAAATTAGTTCATGAGAGGGAAGTGGTGGGCCACTGGGAGATCTTCTTCAGGGCTTCCTAACTTGATCATTTCTTGTCTGACTAGTGTTTTTCCTCTTCTGCCCAGCCTTTTTGCAAACCCCTCCCCTTTTTGCACACTGCTCCCCTGGAATACTGCTGTAGGACATGAAGCAGGTGTGGGCATTTTTGGCTGTTGAAACTTGGGTAAAGGTTGCTATTGGCATCTGCTAGATAAATGCCAATAGTGATAAACCTAAGTGGGTCGGGGCATAGCACAGCTCCCCACCACCCCTTATGACAAAGACATACACAGCCCTTACTGAGAACACTGGAGCCTGCCTACTGACTGCCTATCTCCTGGCCTGTGTGAATAAATGTAGCTGCTGCCCAACCTCAAATGAAGAGGCTCAGGGGCTGGGGTTCACTCTGAGGAGGATTTTCATTCTTCCACACATCCCTCAAGAATGCTCGGCAACAAAAGCAACCCTTTGACACAAATTATGTATCCTGAGACACCGGCTACAATATGCATTCATGTAAATCAATGAACAAAAACCAATCGCTGTGGTACCAATTGCTAAACAAAGCCCTGGAACTAATGCCTGTAATTTGAGGTGTTCACGAAAGTGATAAGCATCTCCTGCCTGCTGCGTCCTCCTCTGTCTCGTGGTGACACATCCAGTCTTTCAGTTGTCACTCAGCCCTGGCAGATGTGAGGAGAGGGATTCTGTACCGCTGGTCATTCAGGTCCCCTCTGGGGTTAACCCGTGCTGAGCATCCGTCCTCTGACAGAGAAGGGTCCTTTCTGCTGAGGCCCTGGTTACCTTGGTTACAGCGAGAGAGTAGCCATTAAAGAGGCAGGGGCAAGGGTAGAGCAAAAAAGGCTTGAGGAGAGGTTGCCCTTGAAATTCCTAGAGCCTCCATAATTCTTACATGAAAACGGAGATTCAGCAAAAACTTACTTCTTGGAGGCCCCTTTTGGCTCCTATAGTGATTTCCTGGTCTGCAGCGGAATGCTAAATTATTCCTAGAGATGTTGACATTGGCATAAACAGCACACCCAGCATCAAATCAAAATCTCCATGTTATGTAAATTACAAAATTATACAGAGGAGAAGTGCTTAACAGATAAGCCAACAACGCACCATGCTACCCGTATCTTTCTGGGTGATCACCACGATTCCTGAAAGTTGGACCAACCCCAACCATGTAGATTACAACACCAGAGGAAAAAGGAATTCTGTCTTCACCTTGATGTTGTGCACAAGGTTTATGACAGCTAATTGAAATCTTAATTCATTTCTTTTAACCTCTAAAGTAGTGAAAATAATTATTTTGAGCATCGTTTGTCTTTCGGTGGCTGGCAATTTAGTATGCTGACTAGTGTGTTATACCACAGGCTCAGTTACAGCACCTACTCTCAAATGTCTGTGAGCTTTGACCAGACATTGCCAACCACTGAGGAAACAGGATTCATTGGTAGAAGCAGAGCAACCCTGTCTCCACCCTCAGCTTTCTAAGGAGCTCGGGTACATACACCATCAGTATTCACATTGCAATAGACAGCGCTCTTAACCCTGAATAGACACTAAACAGACCTTACAAACATAGAACAAGTGTAACTTGGTTTGCTAAACATTTTTACATTTTGACCACTAGGAATCCCAATGTTGTGGGTAGGTGTATCCTTAAATGCATCGCCTCCCTGAGTAGGAATGCCCTCAGCCAGCCAATTGCGGGTAATAATAGTACTTACTTGCTGAAGACGTTCAGAGTTAAACAGATGATGACAGCGGAGCCTTCAGCAGATCACTTTGTAGTTCTTTACTGTTTGTTGGATTACAGTCAATTGTGCAACCAAAGAACAAGTGGTCCCTTAGATGTAGGGGCTGAAGAAATTTCCAAGGTCCTTTCTGCTTAATTTCAGCATTATGAGCCACTGTCCAGTCCATCTGATAGAGAAAAGAACTGGAATATAGGTTTGAATTCCACTGGGTCCATCGGGAACCTAAGCGTGCAGGCCATACTGTTAGGAAAGGCAGAACTGTTCTGCCCATCACTAGCCCTGAGTTAGAATTTAGGACATTTTAGTGAATGCTAATATCAGCTCCATTATTCAGGGGGTTTCCAAGCTCCTCTGTAAAGCAAGGTCCTGCTATTTCAGGACCCAGTCTGGGGACCCAATGCAGTGGTGACGTCCCTGAACATTTCTGTCACCTGAGGCAGGGATGTATTTGTTTCAATGAATCTGCTATAACGTGCAAACCAGAGATTTCCCAAGCTCAACAGATATCTGCCGATTGATCCATTGGTCAGATCCCAGGTCTCGTGACTCACGGCACCTTGCTCTTTTAATTTCAAAAAGGTCAATCAATCAACTGATATATTTTCTGCAGCAACAAAACGCTGCTACACAGTTTAGGAAGGTTTTTATAAACAAAATAGCGTCCCTATCTCAGTCCAACAAGTATATAACATTTCACTCATGCACTCACACGTAAATACACGGCACACACGCACACACTTGTGTGCACACACATGCAAATCCCTGCGATACACCCCTATCCGTGAACATGTACACTCACCCATATGCATGATCACACATTTGAGAGGATGTGGTGACTCAGCCATAAAACAGGACCCCCATTTCTAGAAGACACCTCATGAGACACGTTCTTTCACTGGAAGATTTCTCTGGAGACATTTCACTTAAGGTCAAATATTTGCTGAAAAGCCACCCAACTAGAACACATGACCGGTGAGGTGACCCCAGGAAGGGCATCTCTGCCTGTGCTTTTCAACCATATGCCTAGATACTTCAGCAGAGGCGACTATACCCGAGTGTACCATGAAAGAGCCCGGTTGTTGGGAAGGTGGGCAGCAGAAAGCATCCACCTAAGTAATGGGGGTGAAATAATCAGACCCTTAGAACTCTGGCTCCCCCCAGCCCCCAGAGGCTGACCCTAAATATTTCCAGCTTCCTATGGCGTACCCTTCAGCCGGGGAGAGCAGCGGGCCAGGGCTCCTCATCCCAGCCCCTACTGCTGCCTACACAGAGTCTGTGTTTGCTTTAGAGCCGCTGGGATTCATTTCTTCACCCACAGGAGATCTTGGCAAAGAAGCTGCCTAGGGTTGGAGCTCCGCCACGCCTTCCCTCCTCGGGTCTCTCCCACCCCACAACCCCAAGGTGGAGCAGAGAGCCACTGCTCCTCTCTGAAGTTAATGGCGCTTAGAAGATTTCATTTTGCTATATCGCCTTCAGTCTCAATATTTTACATCTGCCTCTGACAAACTGGGAGCCCTGGAATCATCGTTCAGGAAACAAAGCTTCACCGGGAGCTCTGAAGATTTTTTTTTTTTTTTAGTTTTTTTTTTCTTTTTTTTTCTTTTGGTTTTAGCAGGCTAGTAAAAATCAATAATGCCGTGTTCCCATCTGTAGACCACCTGACATCTCATAAATGGGCAACAGTGCTTGTGAGGCTCCTGTGAGAGACAGGGCCAATCTGGCCAAGAGCTAAGCCCTGCATTCTTTTCCTGCTAATTTAAAAACTGCTCTCACCCTTGGGATAGTCCTGAGGGCTCCTTTTGGGGAAAGTTGGGTCTTCCTGGGCAGAGTTTAGCATGGCCAAATTGAGGCAGGAAAATGGTAGGGGTGGGCAAGGGAAATGCTCTCAGCGTTCTGAAATGATCAAACCCTTTGTCCCTCAAAGGATTCATTAAATAGTACAAGGCCGGAATGGAGATTTGAAGGGCATTATTCCAGGGCAATTAGGCATGAGCGCCAAGATTTAAGAAGCTGTCACTGGGTCCAGGCTCGTGCCAGAGGATTTGGGTCTCAAATCTCAAATGTCTGAGGCTCACAGATGAAGCAGAGGCAAAACCATCCTGGGGAGCCAACATGCTCCTGCCTCATGGGACTCCGTAGCTGCCCAGAGGCATCAAAATATGCCACACTGAAACAGCTCTGAACAGAAAGTGGCCTTGCAGAAGCACAGGCACAGGAAGCCAGTGTGACTTTCAAACAATGGAACTAAAGTTCGGGAGCAGCGGGGTCCACAAGACACAAGAAAGGCACTCTGAGAACAAGAGCCTAACCCAGGCGGGAGGGGGCGGGGCTCTGACACTGCCACTCCCTTCGCCCCACCCAGAGGCCTTTTCAAAGCCACAGACAGAACCATATTGTCCTTCCCAGGCCAAGTTTAACTTCTAAAGAAATCTTTTCAAGATGTTCAAAGCAAGCGAGTGCAGTTTGGCTCTGAGCGTTACCATCTGCTGCCGCATGCAGACCAGTAATCCTGGCTGGAACAGAGGCCCTGCAGCAAGTCGCCTGCTGTGCCCACTGGAGAATGCACACAGGCGGCAGGAGACAAAGGGCCATGCTCCTGGGCAGTGACACTGGGAGTGCTGGGGCGGGAGAGGGGGCGGGGGTGGTGTGTGTGTGTGTGTGTGTGTGTGTGTGTGTGTGTGACGGGGAGGGCTGGACAGAGCCCAGAGAGCCGCTGTTAATGCAATCAGCTGTGCGGACACAGAGCATGCCCAAGCCAGGGCTCAATAGAGGTCCTCACAACCTGTGTGACCTCATCCCCTGGTCACAGGGAGCAAGCAGGAAGGCGGGCTCAGTCTGCCAGAGAGGCCTGGAATTCCGAGGTCTTGAGAATGTCAGGTACCAATAATGGGAACACATCTGAACAGAAACCTGCCTCCTTGGCCTCGTTCTCTTACGCTGGTGTTTTTGTTTTGTTTGTTGGTTTGTTTCCATGCTCTAAAAAATGCTATCAGGAGTTAGCAAGCAACTTGTTTAATGTTCCTGTTGGTGGCGTGTCTTCAGGCCCGCCAGATCCCCTCTTGGGCCAATTCAAGACAGACCAGGAACCCAACCAGCATGTAAGGTGTGGACTCACAATCCCGAAAAGGAAAGGGAGTGCAGGCCCAAATATGGGAGAAGTGGGGATGGCTCAGGGTGAGCTCAGGGACCCAGAGGCCTGTGTGGGGCCCTTTGGTTTCTTCCTGGGCTGGCTAGAGCCTCCCTCTTCTCCAGGCCTACATTGTCACTTGTAAAGGACGGCATCTTGACATCTTGACCAACGTCTCTCTGAGAGCATCATGGGCCTGGCTTTCTAACTTCCCTGCCCTATGGAGGAAGTTTCCCTCCCTTTAGCTGCCCAGAGTCTGCCCTCCTGAGGGAGCATCACTGCTTCATTCCCAACTCTTATTATATCCTAGACTCTCTCTTGGACCTCCCCCCCTCCCCAAGACTGGACAGTATGCTTCATCTTTACCAGGAGCAGTTACTATTTCAGATTTAAAAAAAAAATCACACACTTGAATGTTAAGTCACCAAGACAACAGTTCTTTATCTGTCTGTATCTATGGGATGACACTCATTTGAAGAGAGTTGGTGGATCAGGGATGAAGAGTACATACCGCTCTGGCAGAGAACTTGATTTGGTCCTGGTACTCATCTCGGGTGATTCACAGCCATCGGTAACTTCAGCCTTAGGGAATTTGATGTCAGTTTCGAGCATCTGGTGCTACCTTCTGGCCTCTGCAGGCACCTGTACCCCGCGCACACCCCACTCAGGCATATACATATAATTAAAAAGATAAAATACATCTTTGAACAGACTTGTTCCTTCTTTCCCTCATTGAACTACGTCACTATGAATGAATTCCCTGTTAGAGTTCTCTTATAGGGAATGATATTGATTGCCATTATGTAGACAGGCCGGTTATATTATTTCTGGGTGCACTATTAAGATAATAAGGACACCATTATCAAATATTTGTCATGTGAGGAGACTAGGATTGACAATGCTGAAAACTCCCTGAGGAAGTGAAGCGCCAACGGGCCCTGGGCCGTGGATGAGTTGGAGCGCGGTAAATATTCCACTGGTGTCTGTTTTTATTTTCCTCTCCGTGGAATACAGGGACTCAATGAGATGACCCTGGAGCCTCTGCTAGCCTGGGGTTTAATTTCCAGGAATGTGACCTGCTTTAGATTGTCTGACTTTCCACCAAGGCGCTTCCTCGGTTATGGAAATGCACTGAAGATGGGCAGGTAGCAAGAGGATGCTCCCCTGAGTCAGATTCTACTCTCAAAAGACTGGTGGCTGTCATCACCACCTACCTGCCTGCCAGGCTGATGCCTGTAAAGCTATGAGATCCGTCCCACGCTGGGTCCCAGGTGTTCTTTGGCTTTATTTAATTTGCTGTGTCATGTATCCGGGTATGCAACTGCCTGTGACCGTTGCCCCATACCCGTCTCTGTCCCTCCAGAAAATTGTCTCCGCCCCTGCTCCAGGAATGAGCTTTCTGGGAACAGGAAACTGCACTAGGTCATTGCCTTTGAGCCGCCCTCAACCTAGGGATGTGTTTTATGTACCTTCAGTTACCAAATAACAGTTTCTAGGTTGTATTTCTAGAGAAAGGAATGAAATTCAGGTGTATGCTACTACCTGGAAGTTCTAGGTCTGTTGAAGTATTTAGAGTGGGCGGGTCCAAAGAGATTGGTAGTTATCATGGGCTGGAGTACAGGGAGAGGAAAACAAAAGAGTCAAAGTGCAGGTTTTGGGGGTGGACAGAAACATTACGCAGCTAAATAGTGACATCTATCAAAACATTGTGCATCGATCAAAACTCATTGACTTACACACTCTAAAATGGTGGGACTTTGGGGTTGCATTTTATCTAATTAAAACAAGCCACAGCTGGGGATACAGCTCAGTAGTATTTGGCTAACCAAGTGGAAGGTTCTGAGTTCGATTCTCTGCACTGCCGAAAGAAAAAAGAATAATAATTAAAAAAAAGCAAATGCAAACAATAGCAGCTCCACGTTTCCCATGCCCCTCTGCACCTGCTTCTGGCCACCCCTAAGTCTTCTGTTAGTCTCTTGGATTTGGGGAGTGGCATAGTCAGGTCTCAGGTCAGGTCTTCCTGTCCTCATTCCCTCCCAAGCCGCTTTTAGTCAGCCACCAGGGGGTCTGCCACCTCCCCTCTCACCTCATCTGCCTTGCTTGCCTGTACACCTCTGGCAGGTCCTTAGTCTTGACTTCCCAAGGAAGCAACACTCGTTTACACCCCTAGGTGATTCCTCACTGCCTAACAGAATTCCCTCCCATACTGACCCCGTCAACATCTTCTTGCAACCCATCCCTTCTCACGGCCTAATGTACTAGAAAGGACTGGCAGTATAAAAGCAGCAGACTGCACAAACGCTGCTCATTTCACTTTAAATTCCATGTAACAGGAAGGAAAGTTTAGGCAGAGGTGACATGCACATTTGGTACAAAGATGGTAGAATTCCTTAAAGACCTAGAAAACATCGCCTGCCTGCTACAACAGAGACTCAGCTGGGACAAAGTCGGGAGGCGGTTAGATGCTTACACAAGACTAGCAGAATCCTGCCTTAGCACATGCCTGTGACGGTGGCGCTTGAGAGGTGGAAATAGGAGGATCAGGATCCTTGGCTACATAGTTTGAGGACAGCCTGAGATACAGGAGATCTTGATGCAAAAGCAAACAAGGAAACAAAGTTACTCCGCCACCAATGAGAAAATCAGAAGAAGGCACCGGCATTCTCTAACGCTGCTACACCCGCACTCCTTCCTCCTCCTTTCCCCTCCCAGGCTCAGGAGAGAAAGACCAGGTGAAGCTGGTCTCTGGGCAAGGCATTCTCTGGTTTGGACACTAACAGTGGCAAGAAAAATGTCCCAGGGAAGAAAGTTCAAAATATGACAAACCCCTCAGGACAGCAAGTCCCACTTTGAGCATCACAGAAGAAAGAACAGCTAAAGTCAAGAGTTACAGGTGATTGAGTCCCTTCTGTATTAGGTGGAACTCCCACTTTTCAGTTCCTAAACATCACCCCCTCTCACAAGCATCCAGAGAGGGGAGAACCTTTACTGGGAACCCCATTTTCCTAGGAGAGGCAAGGAGGCCTCCCCCACAAAGAGGAAGCCTCTTTTTCTGAACTCCCTAAACCTTCTTACTGAGCTCCCCAGATCCTTAATGTGCTCTTGCCTTGGGGGGGGGGGGGGGGGGAGGACTTAGGGAAAGCTACTGTTTCTCCTGCTATTACCTGATAAGGGAAAACCAAACATAGTCAGGTGGGATCATGAGACAGCAGGTCTCTGAGGAGCTGGGAAAGTTGAAGACCTCTTTGGTGTCAGTGAAGGAATACTTTAGCACAGAGGGTCTCAACTGGTGATTTGTGACCCTTGGGGTCGAATGATCCTTCCACGGAGGTTGCATATCAGATAAAGATGTTCCTAGACTTCTTCATTGCAGAGGCCAGGGAACTTAGGTGATTCCGTTGGAAGAAGCCTTGTCAGAGGCCTGAGGCCCCAGGCCCCAGGTCCCCGCAGAGTCCCAGGGCCTTTACAAAGTCCCGGAGTTCTCAACAGGGTTAAAGAGTGGGAATTCTACATGCAGTGGGGCTTTGGGGAAGCTTAGGTTTGTTAATGTGTCTCCAGAGCTGTGATTGAAAAACAAGCCCAACCAAACAACAACAGCAAAACAAACAACAACAACAACAACAACAGCAATCAATATCTGCACACAGAATCTGCAGCCCTGCTAGGCCAAGGTATTGACCTTATAAAGCCTGGTTTGCAAAATGTACACCATGCCATGCACCTTGGAGCCACCATCTTGTATTTGGGGACCTCAGATGTGGGGGACTTTGCGATCTCCAAAGAAGAGCAGGGATTGTTAAATGAAGCTCCCCTTGAAGCTCAGTTTCCTTAAAATTAAGACATTAACCACAGTCAAGCGGAAGGTCCTGGATCCTGGGAAAGACGCATAGCCACTGTGGCAGGCCCAGATACCTGCTGGGGAGTGCAGGGCATCTGGTATTCTACCTACTGTGAAACACGGAGAAAGTTTCCACGCAGTGTTTCCTGGGGGAAATTTAGGGTGGTTGAGCTGGGGTCTGCTTGTTCCTAGGATGCATTTCCTAGGCCATTTCAGATGCCCCAAAGTGTAGGCGACAGACCAGGCTCACAGAATTAAAAGAGGGAAACCACTGTTTCAAATACAGATTTCTGAGCCTCACTGTCCCTCTGAAGGGGACCCCCTGGGATGATGCTTCCTACAGGCTTCTGCGGATTTGCACATACTCCGGTTGGAGGGCTTCCTCCAGTGACAGCCCCGCTGCAGAGGTTAAAGGCCAGAGAATCAATTTTATTGACTTCTGGAGCTAAGGGAGTCTAGAGGCCCCAGGCCAGCTCACAGGGCCCAGTACAGCACATCGAATGTTCTGAAGGTGTCCAGGGGCCCCAGGACAGCTCACATGGTCCAGTGAGGAACACTAGAAGCTCTTAAGGCGTTCAGAGGCCCCAGGTCAGCGAAAGGGTCAGCGAATGCATTCCCCTTCCTTCTTGTTCATTCCTTCCTGGCGTACAGGGAAGAGTCTAGATAAGATCCATCTTCTCAAGGGGGTTGTTGTTTCATGATGGTGTCTTACGTTCAAATAACACTTGACTTAATAAACATGATCATATCACAGTCTGGCAGGCTATGGTTTTATACACATTTTATAGAGGAGAGGAGAGAACAGACCTTGGGAGGTAGTGATTTCTGTCCTCTCAGCCTGAATAGTCTTACCATACCTCAAAACAGTGTTTTTCAAATCTGATACCTGCCCCACTTCCCCAGAATACTCTAGCATTGCCTAGAGCCTTTTTTTTGGGGGGGGGGTTGTTACAACTGAGGGTGTTAGTGGCACCCAGTAGATAGAAGTGGGGCATATAACTGAGCATTCCATAAAATGCTCGACAGAGAATTGTCTAGCCTGCATGTCAACAATATCATGGCTGTGGACAGAAGCAGGGTGGGGATACATACTCAAGGGGCTGCCAGAGACAGCATCGGATGCATTCACCTGAAAATTTCTCTTTTTTTCTTCTTCTTTCTTTTATTTTTTATTGGGCTATATATTTTTCTCCCCTGCATTTTCTCTGCTCCCCTCCCCTTCTACCCTCTCCCATGATCACCACACTCCTAATTTACGCAAGAGATCTTGTCCTTTTTTACTTCCCATGTAGATTAGATCCATGTACGTCTCTCCTAGGGTCCTCTTTGTTGGCTAAGTTCTCTGAGGTTGTGAATTGTAAGCTGATTTTTCTTTGCTTTATGTCTAAAATCCACTTATGAGTGAGTACATATGATATCTGTGTTTCTGGGTCTGGGTTACCTCACTCAGTATTATGTTTTCTAGATCCATCCATTTGCCTGCAAATTTCAAGATGTCATTATTTTTTTCTTCTGCTGTGTAGTACTCCATTATGTAAATGTACCATGTTTTCTTTATCCATTCTTCAGTTGAGGGGCATTTAGGTTGTTTCCAGGTTCTGGCTATGACAATTAATGCTGCTATGAACATAGTTGAGCACATGCCCTTGTGGTATGATTGAGCATTCTTTGGGTATATACCCAAAAGTGGTATTGCTTGGTCTTGAGAAAGGTTGTTTCCTAATTTTCTGAGAAATCACCATACTGATTTCCAAAGCAGCTGTACCTGTTTGCACTCCCAGCAGCAATGCAGGA